GCAAGCCCAAAAGTTAGAACAACAAGAAATTCTTCAACTGTCTTCTGGAAAACTTGTGTATGGAAGTCTATGTATTCACTCAAGATCTGGCACATACAACCAAAAAGACACATAATAACATGTTGGCAAGGATATGGAGAAAGTTTAACCCTCATACACTGCTGGTAGACATGTTAAATGGTGCACTTTAGAAAATAGTCTGGTAGTTCCTCAAATAGTTAAAATGATGACAGAAAAAAAAAAACCATAGAGAGATCCTTAGTTTTACATTAGGTCCAGTCTTTCATGGACTATCTCTTAACCATAAGACCCAGCAATTCCACTCACAGGAATACACTCAATAGAAATGAAAACATGTGCAAACAAATACATGCAGATGAATGTTCATGGCACATTATTCATAATAGCCAAAAAATGGAAACAACATAAATGTCCATCAACAGAAAGAATGAATAAACAAAATGTGGTATATCCATACAAGGGAATATTATGTGGCAATAAAGAGAAATGAAGTTCTGAGACATGAATGAACCTTGAAAACATGATGTTAAGTGAAAGAAGCAAGTCACAAAGGACCACATATTGTATGATTCCATTTATATGAAATGTTCAGAATAGGCAAAACCTGTACACATGAAAAGTAGATTAATGGTTTCCTAGAGCTGAAAGAGGTGAGGCTTTTGAGGGTGACAGCTAAAGATAAGGGATTCGTTTGTTTGTTTTTGAGGTGAGAATGTTCTAAAATTGACTGGGGTAATGGTTTCACAATTCTATAAATACACTTGGAGTCAATGAACTGTGTGCTTTAATAGAGTAAATTGTATGATGTGAAAATTATATCTCAATAAAATTGTTTAAAAAATAATCCAGTGCAATTTTGCTCACTACAGGGAAGTACTTATAACCATGGATACAGAAGAGCATCAAACATAATCCTGCCCTCCAAAGCTTCCTCATCATCTATGGAAAGGATTAGGTTACCGTTTTCTCCTTCTAATTTTCAAATACTTTATCTCATATAATATTTCTTTAAATAAGTGACAAAACACCATTCTACAAATGTGTTTACAGGATGATTGTTTAAAGAATAGCGATCCAAACAAGGTCCATATAACACCTCTATGGTAGATCTCAAAATCATATGCTGAGTGTAAAATAAGTTCAGAACAGTGACAGTATAATTCGATTTTTTTAAACAAAATCACACATAAAAATCAGTACATGGATAAATATGTATGCAAGTGGATAAGTACAGTATTTAAAAAATCTAAATGGATACATACCAAACTTCTCAGAGCAATTACAGTTCTTATTATTATAAAAGTAAGCATGCATTCCTTACATAACTGAAAATTAACCATTTAAAAAACTAACTGTAAGGGAAAGGAGTATGACTTCAATAAACACAGAAGCAACTGTCATGTGGATTACATATCTTACTAGAAAGCTTACAATTTAGCCTTTAGCCTTATTCCTCTTGCTAAAAAAACCTCTCTCCTTTATTGGTTAAAAACTACAAATTCAATATTTACAGATAGAAAAGGAACAAAATCAAATACAAAATATAAAATACAGATACAAAATCCTGGAGCACATTTATAGTAAAGATAACATGGAAGAAATGGTTATAAAATAATCCAGAATTAAAATATCCAAGAGATACATAACCCTCAAAAAAGTGTGATGACCATTAAGTTTAGGTTCTTGGCTTTTACTGTTTTGAGGAGATCATTAATCTGTAAAACAAACCCACTTCCCCCCCTACAGCAAATAATATAACAAAATTCCTACTGCAGAGCACAATATATTGGTATAATGATAGGAGGCAGGGGTCTAAATTCCAGTTCTGCCACTTACTAATTGTGGCACAACTGTTAGCCAATCAACTGCTCTCTCTAAGCCTCAGTTTACTCATCTGTAAAAAGCCAAGCAGACATCACTAATGCCTTTTATGTACCCTCAAGGGCTAGAAATTAAGATAGTAGTTTTGAATTTATATAATCATTCACTCTCCCTCCCACACGCATTTTAGCTGTTTCTACCAGTCTGGCTGGGGGAAAGACAGTTGGGAGATTTTCAACCAGGGCATGGCAACCTCTTCTTCTCACCTTTCAATTCCAAAACTCACACTACTAACCTATCAAGGATGGTAGTACATTTGGTTCAACCCATGTAAATACTCTTAGCTAGGTTACTGTTACTTATGTCCCTTTAGGTCACTGTTTTCCAAGGCACATGGCTCATGGCTCAGAGTTAAACACTGAAATTTAAGTAGATAGTGACATGGATTAAAGTGTACTAAAGCCACTTTAAAACTGGTGTCTCCACATTATCAGCTGTGAGAGTATTAAATTATATTGCTAACTTTTTTCTTCTGAGTGATTTACTTTTGAAATAAAGAATAGATTCAAACTTAGCACTATAAAAATTAATCTCACTTACTTGCATTTCCTTAATGGGGAAAAGTGGTCCAGGTGACCAATAGAAAAATGACTGAAAATAGCCGGTACCAACAGTTTAAAGTCAAATCGGTATGGGACTGAATCACTGAACCACTGTATGAAACTAGGCAAATCACTTAAGCTCTATTAGCTCTGGTCTTCTCCATCTGTGATTAAAAAAAAAAAAAAAAAGGAAAAACCACCCACCTTAGAGGTATTACAAGGATTAAATAAAGTAATACTATATATTGGGGATGTGGGTAAAATAGTGCCTGAAATAAAGGTGGTGCTCAGTGGGAGTATGGGAGGATATGCATGAACCATCCTTAACATGAAACTTTAACCAATCAAGCCAACCAGTTTTAACCACTTTATAAACTTCCAAGCATACTACAATTAAATAGTTTGCCCCACATAGAGGCCAGATTATTCAACAAGTTACAGTATTTACTTAAAGATCTAACTGAAACATAAAGGCTTTAAATTGTTCATCTAAATCAAAAATGCTAAACCAAAGCTGAGAACTCAGCACCCTGAATCTATCTCTCCCTTCAATCTCCACTAGATGATAAACTCCATGAGGGAAGGGATAATCTTTTTATTCACTACTATATATTATATTATAACCCTAGCACAGTATCTACTACATAATAGGCGTTTAATGAAGGTGTGCTCATAAACAAATGAATGTTCTTTAATCTTTTGTACCTCAGTGTCCTCATTAATGAAATAGAAATACAAGGCAACTTCTGCTACAAGGAACTCTAAGAAATATTCTCATTTGTCTGTTCTTGGGAAATGTTTTTATATTTATACTATTTTGATGCTGTTACAAATTTTATTACTTTTTAAATCTCAACTGCCAATTATACACTGCAAACATACAGAAATACAATAAATTTTCTTAGATTGAACTTGTATCCTAGATAAACTGAAGCTCTAGAAGTTTTTTATAGATTACTTAGAATGTCCTATATGCATAATCATGTCATCTATAAGACATTTAAAAAAATAAACATAGTTTTACTTTTCCTTTGCAAAATATAAGCTTATTCCTTTTATTTGCCTTAATGCACCTGGCTAGGACCTTCAGAACATGCTGAACAGAAGTTATGAGAACAAATATCCTTGACTTGCTCTGAACATTAGGTTAAAGCAGTCAGTATTTCACCATTTAAGTATGAGGTTCAATGTAGGTTTAACAGACAGACGCCTTTCATCAGCTTGAGGAAGTTTCCTTCTATTCCTAGTTAGCTGAGAGCTTTTATCACAAATTAGTGCTGAACTATGTTCAAATGCCTTTTATGTATCTATTACAAGTTCACTTAGCTTTTCTCCTTTATTTTAATTTGGTGAGTTACATTGACTTTTAATGTTAAATCTACCTTGCAATTAATTGGGATTAAGCCTAATTGGTCGTGATATATTATTATATTTATATAGAGAGAGCTAGATTCAATTTGCTAATATTCTGTTAATAGGTTTTGCACATATATCCATGAGGGATATTGAGCCATAGTTTTCTTTTTTCATAATATCTTTGCCTGGTTTGGTATCAAGGTAATGCTGGGCTCATACGTGTTTTCTGAAGATTGTGAAAATTTTGTTATTATTCCTTCCTTAAATGTTTGATAGACTTCACCAATAAAGCCATGTGGGCCTGAACTTTTCTTCATGGAAACACTTTTAATTACAAACCCAATTTCTTTAATAAATACAGGGTTATTCAAATTTGGTTTCTATTTCATTTATTTCAACTCCTTATTTCTCTGCTATTTAGTTTGGTCTTCTAACTTCTTAAGACGGAAGCTTGGGTCATTGATTTTAGACCTTTCTTTTGAAGTGATAAGTTTCCTTCTAAAGCACTGCTTTAGCTGCCTACAACAAATTTTGACAGACTGTTTCATTTTCACTCAGTTCAAAATATTTTCCAATTTCCCTTCTGAATTCCTCTTTGATCTAAAGTTTACTTAGAAGTATGTTATTTAACTAGCAAATATTTGGAGATTTTCCAGGTATCTTTTTGATTTCTTATTTAATTCTGTTGTAGTCAGAGTACTTTCTATATGATTTCAATCCTTTTAAATTTGTTGAAACGTGTTTCATAGTCCAAGATATAGTCTATAGTCTATTTTGGTAAATGTTCCATGTGCACTTGCAAAGAATTTGGGCATAGTGTTCTATAAATGCCAATTAGATACAGTCCATTTATAGTATTGTTCAAGTCTTTTATATATCCTTGCTGATTTTTTTGCCTACCTGTTCTATCAGTTATTGAGAGAAAATATTGCAATTTCCAACTGTAACTGTGGATTCATCTATTGCTCCTTCCAACTGTCAGTTTTTGTTTCACTGTTATTTGATGCATAAACATTAAGGACTACTGAGTCTTCTCAATGAATCGATTCTTTTTTCATTATAAAATGCCCTTCATTATCCCTTGTCATAGTTTCCTTGTTCCTAAGTCTCCTTTGTTTAACACAAATATAATAACTATAACCTTTTTATATACCTAGTGTTTATACAGTATCTTTTCCCATCCTTTAAAACACAGATACAGTGCTTGCTTCAGCAGCACATATACTAAAATTGGAACGATACAGAAAAACTCAGCATGGCCCCTGTGCAAGGATGACACACAAATTTGTGAGGTGTCCCATATTTAAAAGATAAAAATAAAAATAAAATACAAAGATACAAGTTAAAAATAAAGTGGGCTTCTTGTAGATACCACATAGTTGGATCATATAACAGTGAGACCACTTACAATTTATTTATCATATACTTGGGCTTAAATCTACTATGTTGCTATTTTTTTCCCCTAGCTTTTGTTTCCTTTCCTCTTCTTCCTTCTTTAGGACTGAGTTGCATTTTTTTAAGTATTTCATTTCATCTTCAGTAAGGGAGCATTAGCTATTATTTTTGTTATTTTCTTAATGGTATGCATATTTAACTTGTCATAGTTTACCTCCAAGTAATCTGAATATTATCTGAAATCAATAACATAGACCAGATCTTAGAATTTCATTGGGATCAAAGGTTTGTTAGTAAAAGCAGGATCTCATTATAGCAAGTATCACTATAAAAAGTTCTATACAGGTAGCCTACAACAAAAATTTTCTTTTAAATTTCTATTTCAGAAATAAATAAGAATTTGGAGAACTAGTTAAAATAAGTTACCTACAACAAATAATTCTGTTCAACAGATCCTCAGGCTCTACTCCAGAATATGTAACAATTCTTTAAAAATTTTCCTTATTGAGTGCTATTAGGTAAGACCTTTTAGCTTTGCTCCAGTGTCTAGCATGACATACAGGTTCACCTGACCTTTCCCCACATGAAATATTTTAAAATCATCTCTAGAGAAATCCTTCAAAACAAGCCACCAAATTATAATATAGTATTAAAAAATAAAAGGCATTATATGCCATCAATTATCTCTAAATAAATTAAATCTTTTAACTTTCTAATTCACTATAGAGAGCTCCTGTTTCTTTCTCCAGGACCTACAGAGTTGTGACTTTCAATAATATGTATAATTACAAATTAATTCCATTATCTCAAAATATGAAAGTCTATGATGGTGAGAGTTTATCTGTAATAGTACTTGTAGCAGAACTTAATAAATGTCTTCGTCTAAACCTCAAAATATATACTATTGACACAAAATTCAAAAGGGCCTTGAAAGTTATCTGGTATAGAGATTTATTCTTAGATCCCCAATAAGTCCTAAAGATAATAATGGGGGTCCTGAACTATTTTTCACCACACAGCCCATTTAAAATGCCAAATTGTGGAAGGAAGGGGTGTACAGCTGAGTGCTAGAGTGTGTACCTAAACATGCAGAAAGCCCTGGGCTCAATCCCCAGAACCTCCATAAAAAATAAATAAATAAAATTGAAATGTACTTTCAAAAAATTAAATAAAATGCCAAATTGACTTCACTTTCGGTAAAATTTTACCAACTCAGTATAAATGAAAGGATTTCAACTCTACGTAGTAAAACTCACCTCATACCTCTCTAAAGCTCTAATTATAAAATTGGAGAGATAAGGTATTGCTTAATAAATTCAGTTTAATAGAAAACAGGGCTTGTAAAACATGGCCTCCCAGGGAGTGAAGGGAGAAATAAAAGACTGGGATAAGTTTTAGTCCACTCTCCTATACAATAACTTTCCATACAACATCTCTAATAATTACTTACATGCTCCTGCTCAAGTACTTCCTGTCAAAGAGAAATACCATACAAAGCAACGTGTTCTAATTTGAAACAACTGCCAGACAACAGTTTTTAACCCTATTCTCAATCATAGAACTTCTTAAGAATGCAATGAAAACCATGGGCCTGTCCCTCTGAAAAAGACACATCCATAAACATGTATATATAAATTTTTACCTATCATTTTACAAGGCTCAAGAACCCTGACATCTGTTTGTGGACTCCCTTAATTATGGGGAAACAGATGTTCTCTTTCACTGATGAAGGAATATAGTTATATTCCTCTTCTCTATGAAGAGGAATGTGGATATAAGTACCAAAATTACAAATGCTCATATTCTTTGACCCAGCAATTCCACTTCAAGGGATTTACCAAGTAAACATACATAAACACATTGAAATGACATTATGTACAAGGATATTCACTATAGCATTGCTTATGTCAATAAAGATGGACTGTTGTCCATCTAAGTGTCCACAGATAGGAAATTGGTTAAATTATGATTAAGCTGTACGATGGAATATTAGGCAGTCTTGAAAAAAGAAAGGATAAGGAAGCTCTATATGTACTAATTTAATTAGCTCTGTATGTAACAATTTCTAAAGTATTTTAAACACAAAAAGCAAAACACAATAATGCACATAATATACTTGTCTCTATTTTTTAAAAATGGATTGAGTGAATATACATATGTATTTGCACAGGCACACACAATATATACGTCATATGATATATACATATGAGATACATACATACACACACACACACATATTAAATACAAGAAACTTTTAATAGCTGTCTCCAGGGAAGGAAACCAGATGGATACAGGAAAGGCATAGAAGAAATGTCTCACTGTGTATCTCTGAAATCTTTTGAATTTTGTACTATGTGACTATATCACCAAATCAAAATTCTTAAAAACAAACAAACAAAATAAAACTCTGTCTTCGACCCTAAGCACTTTTGCTAAGTTTCAAAACCCAGCTTTTCTACACTATCTTTCTGTGACTTGTTCATAGTAATATTTTATCAGAATTCTTCTTACATTGTTTAACTACGAAAAGGTCTCATCTTTCCACATACAATCTGACATCAGAGCAAGTTAATTACACTCTCTTCTTTTAGGCTTATAATTCCTTCACGTCTCCATTTTTTTTAAATGCAGGGAGTGAATATACATATATATCTGTGCATCCTTCTTTTAAGTTCATAAGACTTTCACATCTCCATAACTACTCTCAGTTGCATGCCACAGTCACACAGGTCCATGACTCCCTGATTATAAGTGCCTCAAGAGTATACAGTGCATTCAGTTGATTTTTTTTTTTAATCTTCTGGAACACCTATACACAGTATAGAATCAATAGAAGTTAGCTGAACTCAACTGCTGAAAAATCTGGGAACTTAAATTTCAGTATAGCTATTATGTCTCTTTTCCTTCAACTTATCCAGATTATCACACAGGCAAATCAAACACCTTTTCGTAAGAAGTTGATGGAATATTTTGTGCCTTGATTCCAACTAGTTAATTGTTAATATAATGGAGACTGGATAAGTTAGTTTCGGTTTGATGCTAGTAGCTTCTGCCAAATCTGAATTTTAAATCTGGCTACTAAAGTTAATTAACATAACAATATATCCTTAACTAGATAGAGGTACCATCTCCTGATTATCAGCTGGCCCTTCAGATTACATTTTAATTCCACAATTAATCCTAAATATTCCTCTGGAGTCAGGCAAAATAGGAATTAAATTAACACCAACTCTGGCACAGTTTGTTATAAAGTCACATAATTACTCTTTATAGAAAGAAGCAAATTTATCAGTCATACGGTCACATCCATTACAGCAGATACCATCACCATGTTATCTTTATTAACAATCTTCATAGGACTTAATATTTGAGGCAATACTGGTTAAAATAAAATTCTAAAACAGCAAATTTGGAAAGCCACTTGCTGTTATCATGCTACAATTAAACTACGCTTTGGTTAAAAAAAAAAAAAAGGCTATTCTATGTAACTCACCAAACTACATAATGGCTTAGTTCTTCAACTTCCTAGACCAATAATACTATCTGTAAAAATAACTGCAATTTGAGTTTTGTTACTAGTTCTTCTGCAGATACTAACAAAATTTGTAAGACTTCTAAGGCTTTTGCTGAATATGGACTAAAAGAAAAAGAATCATCGTTTTCTGGCTGCACTTTGTCAATGATAAGGATGAGGAGGGGTCAAGCTCCAACAAGAGTCAATTTTAATACGATCCACTTCTATGTATACACAAAAAGAACTGAAAGCAGGGGCTCAAACAGCTATATGTACACCCATGTTCATAGAAGCATTACTCACAGAAGCCAAAACGCAGAAGCAACCCAAGTGTCCAGTGACACATACATGGATAAATAAAATGTGGTACATATATTGGAAAAGTATTTAGCCTTTAAAAAGAAGGAAATTCTGACGCATACTACAACATGGATGAACCTTGAGAATATTATGCTAAGCGAATTAGCCAGTTGCAAAAAGACAAATACTGTATGAGTCCACTAATATGAGTTTTCTAAAGTGTCAAATTCACGGAAACAGAAGAGTAAAGTGGTGGTTGCCAGGGACTGAGAGGAGGTGTAATCGAGAAGTTATTGTTTAATGAGTATACTTTCATTTTTGCAAGATGAAAAAGTTCTTGAGGGGGATGGTGGGGATGGTTGTACAAAAAAGTGAATGTACTATACACTCAAAAATGGTTAGAATAAATTTTATGTTATGTATACTTACCACAATTAAAAAAAGAGTAAAGTTTGATAACCAACCTCTTCTTTTATCTCCCTCATTGAGTTGGGATTAGGAAACAGACATCATTCTTTTCTAAAGAATATTTTAAGAAAAATACCCCACCTCTATTTTTCTGGCTTCTGTCTTTAGAGTATATTTAACGGGCAGAACAAGGTGCTTTTCTTGTTCCTTTGGTATTGCCACCCAAATTTCCAGAAGTCTATATATGCATAATGAAGAAGTTTGTAAGGGAAGAATTTTGGCAAGATTTTGTTCTAGCCTTTGTGTCTTACAGTTTTGTATTTTAACCATAATTCGTTCCTTGATAGTATTCATGCCTAAATGGAATTTTTTAGTTTTGTTTTCCCCTATCTCAAATATGGCTCCCTCTTTTGGTATAGATCATCAAAAATAATTTTCTTTTTTTTAACTTTTTTTTATCGAGTTACAGTCATTTTTCAATGTTGTGCCAAATTCTAGTATACAGCACAATAAAAATAATTTTCTTAAACTAGAAGTACCCAGAACTGAACTGACTTCCAAGTCATACAGTTAGTTATTCAACTTCTTAGGAGGTACTAGGGCCAAAGCTAGATTCTTCCTATTTCAGTACACTTTGCAGCATATGAGTTAAAAAAAAAAGGGGGGGGGGGTAAGTTAAAAGACTAAGAT